AGGGAAAATATAATGCATACATTATAGGCACATAATTTCAAGTATTTCCGTTAATACATATATGCATATATTTTTTTATTAATATGTCAACTAATAAGAAAATATTTATATTTATTAAAAAAAAATAGGCAGACAAAATGCTAGCTTTTTTCCATTTTGTTTTTTTTAAAGGTGCATATTTGCTATTACAGTTTCTCTCGATTGCTAACACACTATAACTGATTCATTTGGCACATTTTTCCAAACCATTCATACAGTTCTCGAAACAAAGACATGTTTCTCAAAACTTTTAACACATTTCACCTGTTTTCACACACGTTCCAATTTGCTCAGTGTTTTCTGCAAAGCAAAGATCGGCATAATTTTGCACAGGTTTAACCATGTTCTCATTTAGAAAACACAAAACACACAATATAACTAGAATCACAAAATGAACACAAATAGCACACATTGATTTATCCATGTGTGAACATTAAGTAGCGAAACTGATGACAGCAGTCAGAATCTCAGGATGATATGAACAAGAGCACAAGTGATTATGTGTTTTGGAAAATGAATCCTGGTAGTGGGAGACAAAGAGGAATAGGAGGAGAAAAGAAAAATGAAGGGGACGAGGTCAAAGGTAATTTGTTGCTGATGAAATATAAAGCACTATAGTTGAACATGATCTTGTGCATGGACTGACCATGAGAAAAGCTGGCCTGCATGCTCATCTACAGGGTTTTTACACTACTTACACTTTACAATTACAGCAGTACTTCAGATGAGAGGACTTTCACTGTTCTTTGTACTGTTTGTAAATACTGTAGCACACACCCTCAAACTCATAACCGTTGAATTGATTTGTAGCCAAGCATTTCTTACATGTATTTGTGCAGAACTGAGAGTCGACTGGGAGGCAGAGAAAGTTTTTTCTCAGAATACTAAGAAACTGTTATAGTATAACAAATAAGAATATTACCAGTACTGTAATGCAACTTGGCAGAGGATGCTTATTTAATTATTTACTGTAACTGACAGTACATTCCAATGTGTTTACTGTATATTCTGTTGTTTGGTTTTTGAACTTTTCCCTTCTAGTGCTCTCTAGATCTCTTTACAGTAGTGAAATGACAGTAAACTTTTCTTACAGTTTATTGCTGAATTTTACTGTATCTGCAACCCTCTATTTATGCTGCATACTGTAACAGATATTGACTTGCAAAATGTCTCCTGGCTCCCAAAAGGAGGTTTTTGTAACAGTGTTTTGAATTGATCTCACTAATGTTCTCTAGTCATGAAAACAGTCTGTGTATTTGGCAGGTTTGTGTGTCATCTGAGGCCAAAGTTTGAGTCTGACAAAAGAGAATGTGTTTTTGACTAAAATGTTTGATTTTGACCTGGAAGTTTGAAGTTTGCACAAGCTGGTGTGTAGTTTTGAGATTGTGTTTATAGTTGTGAGAAAAGGATGAACTGTTTCATGAATTGTGTGTTAGCAATCGAGAAAACTGTAATAATCAGCATTGTTATTGTTAACTAAAGCTATTAAAAATGTTTTCGGTCATAGAAATAAATCTGAAATAAAATGAAATATAAATATTAGATGAAAAGCTTAAACATAAAAAGCTTAAATTAATAATGTTGCTTTGGCAACTGACTGAAATTAAATTTCTAAAGCTGAAATGTAAAATTAAATCTATATGGAAATATTTTTAAAATAACGAAAGCAAATAAAAAAGACAAAAACACAATGTAATCAACAAGTCACAGGTGTTTGGTGATGAGTTTGTGGCTCAAGGTCTGCATTTAAAGTCACAGCAGAGGTGTTCAGCTGGGATTAGGACTTGGCTTTCTGCAGACCAGTCAAGTTCTTCCACACTGACTGAATCAATCTTTTTTTTGACCTTGCCTTATACACAGAGGCATTGTCATGTTAGAATATAGAAAAGGGTCCTGTTCAAAATATTGGTATAAAATTAGAAGCACACAATTCCCTAGAATAGCATTATTATATGCTTAAACATTAAGATTTGTACTCATGGAAATTACTAAAGTAGTCAAACCTGCTCATTAGAAGGGGATGTCCCAATACTTTTGCCAATATAGTGTACAAGCCAGTCTAGCTATTCAAAATCTTTGTCTGCAATTTAATAATATTGACCTATTGCTTTTGCTATTGCTTTTGACCATTAGGTATTAGTAACATAATTCATTCAGAACCTGTTTTATGGACATAGACTTTCTGTACCACACTATTCTGCTGATATGGAATGAGTTTGACTACTAAATCAGTTATATTAACAGAAATACTTCACTGGGGCAAACAAAAATATCCTAAAATAATATATAGGATACCCCATAGCAGCATTTCCAGCAGTATCCAACATTTCTCAATCATGATCTTACTCAGCTAAATGTGACTGTTAGCTTAACAGCTGTATTCCTTGTTTGCTAGCTACCTATGCACATACAGCATACAATGTTAAAAATGTTCTACATTATGAACCTTAACCCAAAAACCTTTAGCTTCATACACTGTAGTTAATTGTGACCCTGCCTGTGGAAACCCAGCTAAAGTAATTTTTTAAACAGTGGATGAGTAATTCACTCACTGATTTGCTTAAAGGGTTAGTTCACCCAAAAATGAAAATTAGCTTGTGTTTTACTTACCCTCGAAGCATCCTAGGTGTATATGACTTTCTTATTTCAGAAGAATCCAGTCGGAGTTATATTAAAAATTGTCCTGGCTATTCCAAGCTCTATCATTCATTCATATCATTCAACGAATCCATGAGTTTTTGTAAGAAAAATATCCATATTTCAAACGTAATAAACACTTTTCTCTCACTTACGCTGACTGTCATACACTGAAGCAGTTCCGGCGGATGACGTAAGACGTGCAGCGTTGCGTGATTAGTGACGAATGTGGAGAGAGAATAAAACAAAACGCCGGTCATGAATTAATAATAATAATTAATAATGATTTATGCATTTAGCAGACGCTTTTATCCAAAGCGACTTACAGTGCATGCATTCATAATAAAACGTGCCGCAGACGGCTCCGGGGGATGAATAAAAGCCCCCTGTAGTAAATCCATGAGTTTTGTAAGAAAAATATTCATATTTCAAACGTAATAAACACTTTTCTCTCACTTACGCTGACTGTCATACACTGAAGCAGTTCCGGCGGATGACGTAAGACGTGCAGCGTTGCGTGATTAGTGACGAATGTGGAGAGAGAATAAAACAAAACGCCGGTCATGAATTAATAATAATAATTAATAATGATTTATGCATTTAGCAGACGCTTTTATCCAAAATGTAGGACGGGACTAAACCATGCACTGAATGGGGGGAGATAATTTTGCTGGAAATGCAGAAATAATCCGTAATTTTGTTTTATTTGTAACTCTTTGGTAGATACATTTATAATTTTTACTACATTACTATTACTACTGTTACTACTAATAAAACAGATCTCTGGGGGGGCCAAAAGTGCGTGGGCCCTTAGAATCGTCCTAACTTTCCCCCCCTTAGCGGCGCCCCTGGGGCCCAACCTCATATTCTTTCATAGGGCCCAAAATTGCTAGCGGCGCCCCTGGTTGTATCAATTATTATCCTTTATTTTACCAGGAATTATCCCATTGAGATATAAATCTCTTCTACCAGGGAGTCCTGGCCAAAATGGCAGCACAGAAAGTTTCACATACAGATTAGACACACATAAAACAAAAAAAACTAAAATATCATCCAACATCAAATAAAAAAATATCATCCAACATCATATTAAAAATTACATAAAACATTCACAAGTTTCTTCCAGGTAGAACTCCAAAAGATTTCTAAAAATATTTAGAGATGGAATTGTTTCTAACATCATAACACTCTGCGTTTCATTCCATAGCCTAGGACCATAGGAGGAAAAGGCAGTTTTGCCAAATTCAGAGCGTACTCTAGGAACAGTCAAATGTAATTTGTAAGAGTTTCTAGTGCTATAATTACAAGTATAATATGATAAAAGATTACAAATATGGCAGTAAATAATAACATATGCATTTTTCTCCTTTGGTACAGAGATGACCAACCAACTATTTTGTACAAAGTACAGTGATGGGAACGTGAAGATGTATTTGTCACAAATCGTATTGCAGCATGATATATACTATCCAACTTCCTTAATAAGGACAAGTTGAACTCATCTGGAGTTTGCAGCTGCACCTGCTCTGGGCCTGGATTAGGGTGAATATTGCCCGATATTAAAAGCAGAAGAAAGACAAACCAGTTTTTTTCTCACAGAACCGGCGGTCGGATGAACACTGCAGTTGGACGTTGCATAAGGAGCCAACTTTCTTTTTCCGTAGGCACACCGGCATCGCAGTCCTCTCGATCCAACTTTTAGAATAGAGAGTGCTTGAGATAGTCACGCAGTGTGAAAACAACGGCGATCCGACGAGTTTGAAAATCGTGCAGTCTGCAGTGTGAACTCGGCATTAACCGAACCTGTGAGCCTTTTGATGATTTTGTAACAGGCGATTCCCCGGTAGATTAGATTCTGGGGTGGCGTAGTCGGGTATTTTAGAGGTGCTTGTTAAGTCTACCTCTGGGGAGGGTTATTGATCTAGGTAAATCTTCCCCTGGTTCTAATCTTTAATTGCTCTTGTTAGTACTCCCTGAGAGTAACCAGTACGTGCGCCACACAGGCAAACAAATAAGATATATCCTCATTTTAGCAGCAGAATACAAGCGAAAAAGAGCATAAAACAACAACAAGCAAACGGTTACAAGACACGCATGTCACGCACAGCCGCCATCTTGGTCAATTAAAGATGATTAGCTACAAAATACACTTTCTCTGTCACTGTCATGATTGTGCATAAATGACAAAACTTGGTGTTGACCTTTATGCAAACATTATTTAAACATAGATTTAAATTTACCACAGTACAATTAGAAATAGTTAAAAAAAAAAATTTACATTTTTTTTTATGCATTTAATTCAGTTAATTAAGAAAAGTTGGCAACATTATGTCTATTCAAGGCATGGAAGGCATTTGAGGCATGGAAGGTAAGGAAGGAATTTGATACATTGGAGACATGGAAGGCATGGGAAGGCATTTGAGGCATGAATGCATTCAAGCATTTCAGGTGTCCAAAGCATTTCAGATGTTTGAGGCGTTTCAGATGTTTGAGGCATTTCAGGTGTTCCAAGGCATTTCAGACTTTATAGACATTTGAGTCATTTCGGAGCATACAAAGCAATTCAGGCATTCTAAGCATTTTAGACATTCAAAAAGGCATCCGAGGCATTTTGGGCATCCGAGGCATCCGAGGCATTTTGGGCATCCGAGGCATTTTGGGCATCCGGGGCATTTCAGGCATCCGAGGCATTTCGGGCATCCGGGGCATTTCGGGCATCCGGGGCATCCGAGGCATTTCAGGCATCCGGGGCATTTCGGGCATCCGGGGCATTTCGGGCATCCGAGGCATTTCAGGCATCCGAGGCATTTCGGGCATGGAAGACCACCTTGAATCTCGCAGTCTGGTCACACGCATCATGAGTTCAATGACCCATATTTTAGAGGGGTCAGCACAAAACTCTTGGTCATTGTCCAATTTGAATCTGCCGAGAGACAGTTGCATTAAAAATCATTAACTGTAAAATTAAAATGTATGTATAGAGCTTCTTATATTCACTACAGTTTAAAGCATTTTATTGCATCATTGTGTGTCCTGTGTCTCCATTCCTCTCCAGGGACGTCAATTCATTTATCTAGTAATTATTTCACAGACATACATTTTATGGCAACACTTCCCATATGGAAAATATATATGAATATCGTTAAAATGTGTAAGAAATATAAATTATAATTCAAAATTCTAGTTTCATTTTAACATTTTCATTACAAATCATATTATCAGTCTAACAATCTGAATATATTTATATATATTTTTTTAATCATAAAACTTTCTGGTTTTGGGTATCTAAAATCCAAATAGAAATGCTGAATGTAGATGTGTGTGTGTGGGGGGGGTCCTATAAACATGCAATGGATAAAAAATACTCTTTCGTAGTTCTAAATCTACATACAGACAGATGTTACTTACACAATAGCTTGGATTCTGCAGCCTCCGTTCAGGCCTTGTCTTCTGTAACTGGTCACTCTGTTTCTAATGGACAGTCTAACTCTTTCGACATACCCCAGACAGCAGGTCTTATCTAAGAGACACATCACAAACACAACACAACACTAAAAGTACTGATATGCATTTACCCAAATCCATATGCAATACAATGACAAGATGGAAAACCAACAGGTGCTCAAAGTGAAAGTGAATTTAGTGCCTATTTAAAGTACATGCATGTTGCTAAGATTTACATTGCAAAGAAAACACAAAATGTTCAGTAACGGCAAGACTGATTTTTAAAACATCATTACAGAACATTGTCCATTTTTTTTTATCATTAATATTTTTTATTTTTTAAGTGCTCTCCAATAAAGGATGAAGTATGTAATGTGATCATTTATATTAATTTAAACACTTTAATGGTTTAATTTTTAACTTCACCTTTATATTAAATATTTTTATTTTTATATTGTAATCAATACATTGTGTTCATATTGTTCAGATATGTTTTTGTAGTTTCAAAAAAATTTCCCATATTTTTTCTCAATTAGAAAAATATCTTTCATGCACCGACACTGTGATATATTTCAATCTCAAACACTCTTTCAATATCATAACGAGTTTCTTGCCAAAAAGATTTGAATCTGCACTATTGTGCAACTTCCTACCTTTAATTGACCCTCTGAGCATTTCATCCACCCTCTCCATGAGAATGCGGACCCAATATTCTTGGGGGTTTGCACAAAACTTATGGTCACGATCCACTCTGAAGCTGCAGCGAGACAGTTGCATTAAACATCATGGACTATGCTGTTTGAAAGAATCACAAATAAAAGCCTCTGATATTCACTGACAGGTTTTGCTTACACAACAGCAGGGATGTTGCAACGTCCATTCGGCTTTTGTATGCTGTAGCTAGTCACTCTGTTCCTTGTAGAGAATCTAACTCTATTGACATAATGCGTGCAGCAGTACGTATCTAGGAGACAAAACAAAGACATTACATATTAACATGCAATGAGATGCAATTTGAATTCAATTTTTCTTTAGTTTGTTTTAATTTTAGTTAAAATATTTGAAATGTAGCCTAGTTTTTTTTATTATTTACTTATTTTTGTAAAATGTCTATCGTTTTTAATTTATTTCACCTTAGTTTTAGTTATTTTAATACATCAAGTTAAACTAAATGAAAATGAGAATGATTAAATAAAATGTTACATTTTTCAGTTAATCTCTTATTTCAGCTAAAGTTTATTTTACGTCAAATATACGTTTTTATGTATATTAGTTTTAGTTTTAACTTATGCCAAAAAACTATTTTATTGCCCAGTATGTTCCAGTATGTTTTGTAAACTTAAACAATGTGATTTATTGAATCATTTTCTGTATAATGTAGCCTACAATAGCTGCAGCATCATCACATGTGGTGTTTACCTTGTGCCTTTCCAGGCGTTGGAAACCTTTCTGGTGGTCGAGGAATTTCAGGCTTTCTAGTAATTTCAGGGATTTCAGGCATTTGAGGCATCTGAGGCATTTCAAACGTTTGAGGCATTTCAGACGCTCGAGGCATTTCAGGAGTTCGAGGCTTTTGAGACGTTCGAGGCATTTCAAAAATTTCAGGTGTTTGATGCATTTCAGGAATATCAGGAGTATGAGGCATTTCAGACGTTTGAGGCATTTCAGGTGTTTGAGGCATTTCAGATGTCTGAGGCATTTCAGGTGTTTGAGGCATTTCAGACGTTCGAGGCATTTCAGACGTTCGAGGCATTTCAGGTGTTTGAGGCATTTCAGATGTTTGAGGCATTTCAGATGTTTGAGGAATTTCAGAAGTATGAGGCATTTCAGACGTTTGAGGAGGCATTTCAGACGTTCGAGGCATTTCAGACGTTCGAGGCATTTCAGGTGTTTGAGGCATTTCAGATGTTTCAGGCATTTCAGATGTTTGAGGAATTTCAGAAGTATGAGGCATTTCAGACGTTTGAGGCATTTCAGACGTTTGAGGCATTTCAGGAGTATGAGGCATTTCAGAAGTTTGTGGCATTTCAGACATTTGTGGCATTTCAGACGTTTCAGGCATTTCAGATGTTTGTGGCATTTCAGACGTTTCAGACGTTTGAGGCATTTCAGGAGTATGAGGAATTTCAGACGTTTGAGGCATTTCAGGTGTTTGAGGCATTTCAGTGGAAACCTTTCTGGTGGTCGAGGAATTTCAGGCTTTCTAGTAATTTCAGGGATTTCAGGCATTTGAGGCATCTGAGGCATTTCAAACGTTTGAGGCATTTCAGACGCTCGAGGCATTTCAGGAGTTCGAGGCTTTTGAGACGTTCGAGGCATTTCAAAAATTTCAGGTGTTTGATGCATTTCAGGAATATCAGGAGTATGAGGCATTTCAGACGTTTGAGGCATTTCAGGAGTATGAGGCATTTCAGGAGTGTGAGGCATTTCAGGAGTGTGAGGCATTTCAGGAGTGTGAGGCATTTCAGACGTTTGTGGCATTTCAGACGTTTGTGGCATTTCAGGAGTATGAGGCATTTCTGGAGTGTGAGGCATTTCAGACGTTTGTGGCATTTCAGACGTTTGAGGTATTTCAGACGTTTTTGGTATTTCAGACGTTTGTGGCATTTCAGACGTTTGAGGCATTTCAGACGTTTGAGGCAATTCAGACGTTTGAGGCATTTCAGGAGTATGAGGCTTTTGAGATGTTTGAGGCATTTCAGATATTCGAGGCATTTCAGACGTTTGAGGCATTTCAGACGTTTGTGGCATTTCAGGTGTTTGAGGCATTTCAGAAGTATGAGGCATTTCAGACGTTTGAGGCATTTCAGG